ACTGATTTGCTTGTACACAGAATTTAAAAATAAAAGGACCAGGAACATTAAGGACAAGATGTTAAAAATAAGTAATATATAAAGCCTTTAGCTACCACAGATAAAAAGATTTTTGCCCTCAGGGATTCAAATCATGCCACACGAAATGAATGAAAGCATGCTTTAAAAAAAACAGATGACACATTATTCTGTTAATAATAGCACAGCCGCGGGTTGCTCGGTCATCTTATTTTAACTTGGGATGTTTAAAACATATTCTTTCTGTAAAAGCAAGCTTCTCATTTATGTCATTTTAAAGAAGAAATCCTTCTTTCCTATTTTGCGAGTAGATGCTAATGTTTAAAGAACCAGTTTTACTGACTGCCAAACAAACTGAATGGTAATTTCAAAAAAGATGAGCAAACAGACCAGCACAAAACCAAGAGTGTTTCATATAAATGAATTCAGACCACGGATAAACAGAACATTCAACAATTAATATATGTAATGAAGAACTCTAAAGTGCTAAAGGCAAGCAAGGCTGCACTCAATAGCTTTGAGTGCACAACAATGACGGTCTCCATACATCACTGTCCATTTGGACAGCTCTCTCGTTTTTCCTCTTCCTGCTCCTCATGCTGCCATCCTATGTGGATCTGAACCCCATGCAGACTGTTTAGGACATGAATTTTTTTGCTGATGTGTCCACAGAGAGCCTGTCATAAGCAATGCATGTTGCTAGCTGCGGCTTCTACCACTTTGTTCACAGTAAATAATAATATGTGGCTGTCAGTTCTCATCAAAACATTCATTTCGAGTTATTCTTGTTATCAGATGTTTCTGCATATGCTTGTAGAGGCTCAAGATCAATGTGTCTTCTGTATAAATCTGTTTATTTCCTTCAAAATGGAATTCAGACTAAGTTAATCATTCTAGGAGTGTATTTTTTTTTCTCCGTGGCATAATCATTTCCTTGATGGTTATTGTTATCTCTAAGAGACACATCAGCTAACAGTGGAGCTATCTGCTATTATTAGCACTCAGTAACTAGATAATTCCTGAGTTTCCATATAATTGGGAACAAAGATGCACAGTTTTAAATCCCACTATAATATTTAATTATACTACTCGATCGTGAGCTCTTTCCACAAAACAGTTATCTGCTCCTTTAGGAGCAAAACCTCAGGCCTTTTGGCTACAGGGCCACATCTGCCCTTTCAAAGATGCTGGTGGTCCTTTTTGCTTTTGGTAAGCTATTTGGAAGGCAGATCTCAGGTTTTGTGCCTTTCAGAAGTGTTCAGACAAGTATGTCACCTCAGGAATATGATACCAAAGCCAATATTTGGTTACATGATCGTGAAAGATCTTCTGTTTACAAACGAACAAACAATTTTTCACAGGGGGGATAAATCCGGCCCGCCTTATCTTTTCTAATCAGAGTGAGCTATTAAGCGGCTTTGTAAAATAATTTATTCTCACTTAAATTGACATTTCATACTGGAAGATAAACATTCCCTTCAACTTTCTGGAGAATTGTCTTTATTACTTTCCTCCCCTCTCAGCCCTCAGATCAAACTGGCTGAGAACCACTACATTACACGCTGGTAATGCTGACCTGAGTCTGCCCCATACCATATCTTGCTGTCAACAAGGGCAGTGGTGGCACTCAGTTCCCTCAAGATATCTGATAGATTCAGTTCTCCAGTCTACAGGAAAGGCCTCAGTTAGGTGAATGGAGATAGTTCTGGGAGGGATGTGACCCTGGGCACTCTGCTCTGGGTAGCCCTGCTGGGGTTGCAGGAGTTGGGCCAGAGGGACCCAGGGGACCCTGCCAGCCTCAGCCAGCCTTTGAGTCTGAGATTTAAGCACTCAGAATACTGGAAGGCATTCCTCTTTGAAACAAAACAAAACAACAACAACAAAAAAACAAACCAAACAAACAACCAAAAAATATCCTGTAATATTTTCTTTTTGTGAGCAACCAGGCCTTTCTCACCAAAGGAGATGGAACACAGCCCTCCTGTTCTGAGTGGCCCAGAGACCGTATCTCTAGGGACTCTTCAGTCTTCTTGTCAGGTTACAGCCCCGCTTTTCTCATTGAAGCTTAATTAATGATGATTATATAATCCTCCCAAATGGAAAATCAAATCTCTTGTATTTGATTTAGCACAGGCAGTGACTCATACAGTTGCTCGGCACAGTTTGCACTGCTGCTTGGCTGCTCGGCCCCTCATGCCTGGGCACAGCTAATTTGAGGGGGTTCACTCCTGTGCAGGCAGCTTGTGACACATCCCTGGTGCAGAAAGAGCTGCCAAAACGCTGCAGTAGGTATCACAGAGCACAAACCATGCCCAGAGCCAGCCTAGGTGGATGCTGATGTGAACCTTGGTTGGGCCGGAGCAGCTCCTCTTGCTTCCAGCTATAGCTGAGCAGACAACTCTAGGGACAGTGATCTTCTGAAAGACTGAACACATGCCGGCAGCAACGTGAACTTCACTGGCAGTTTCTGGGAGCTGCATGTGCATCCCCCTGCCCTGCACCATCTCTCTTCCGAGATGGGGGAAAGCTACTCCTATACAGGCTCTGTGTAGGCTACACGAGATCTGGATCCCCAGCAGCAATCCTGGTGAGAAGTCACCATGGTATAAATCAGGTATTTGTTCTGCTTTAGAGAAAAAATAAATCTCACTGGCATCTCAGTGTTATAGTAAAACGGACTCCAAAGCTGAAGAGGGAATTAGTCCCACAGCTCCCAAGGAAGTTAGGGAGAGCAGCTAAGCCCCTAAGACTGTCTAAGTCTCAGTCCTTCAATTTAATCCATTCAAACCCATCCCTATATGATGTTCTCAGCCATAAGTCACAACATGATTAACAGAGAAGGTACAAGGGAGGAGGATTGGACTGTGAGACCCCATCACACATCACCCACTTCCCCTAAGTATTGCAGTTATGTTGGCAATGAAAAAGAGTAAAACAAGTCCGAGAAAAGAATTCAAGGGAGGTTATGTAAAAGATTATGTAGAAGTAGGATAAATCTAGTGACATTTCTGTTAAAGAGGCCAAAAATGTACCTACCCATACTTCAAAACACTCAACAAAGGTTGAGAAGAAGAGGTCAGGGCTGTTGTTAGGACCATCCCTATCACAACACTAGGCCAGTGGGAATGGAACATCTTAGTGTTCTGGGAAGACCCCGTGCTGGGGCAGCAGGGCCATGCAGACAGAGAAGGCTCAGGAAATGCTCAGCAAATTGCAGAAAAACAAAGGTAAAATTTGGCATTGGACAGCTAAAGGGAGCAGCAAAAACTTGTATTTAGAGAAGAACATCCTGTATTCGTCTCCCATGCGTAAAAACATGCTCACACTTCTACTGCTGTGAAAAGCTACAGGGAAAAGCATTCTTGAATACATTCATAAGGAACATCTCCAGCTAATTAAGCTTAATTTGCAATTTCTGTGCTCCGCTGCCTCTTTTTTTATCGTAGCCTAGCCTCTGCAATGGGAAGAGGGAGTACCATCTCACAGATCAGGACAAGTGCCAGGCCCTCCCTCCTGACCAGAGAGTCCATCTGCAGCAGATCAGGGAGAAACTGGAAGAGGTGACATGAAGTGGAGGATTTAGAGAAAAGTGGCACGTGGAAGAAAAAGCAGAAAATTGAAGCAGAAAGCTTGTGTCTTATTTGTGAGCTATAAGCTGGAGTCCTTGCAAAATAATTCTGTGTGTTCTGAAATCAATATGCTCGCATTTAGTTTGTGTGCATTAAGCTAGGGGAGATATCTGGAGCAGCAGAAAAATGCAAGTTGCATCTTTCTTCTGAGAAATAACCACTGATCCAAATGCAGGGATGTGAAATCTCAAACAGGGAAGAGAACAATGTTAAAGTCACATGAAAATAAAAGGCTGAGAATCCTTTAGAAAATGGATCAGAAATTCCCCCAGTAGAAATGTATCCTTATGAGTCAGCACCTGAAATCCGGTTTCTGCTCTAGAAAACAGAACAGCTTGGTGCGTGCGTCTGCCACGCGGCCGCATTTCTCTCCATTCAAACTAGAAAGCATACAGGCGGTTGCATTTTTATACAAATACAGCCCCAAACCGTATGGCACCAAGTAAGAAATACATGCCTTCATGCTGCATGTAGGTTTCTATTCTAGTCGTGTGGCTCAAGACCAGAAAGTTAAATGGGGACAGGGACATTTCTTCACAGTGTGGTGTGCGGTTTCTGGAAAGCACAGTGGGGAATTTTTGCTGAGGATGACCTATTTGGAGCAATACCAGCAACTTTTGAAATGCCACTCCAGAGTTCAATCAGACAAGTAACTACAGCGAACTCAAGCAGGCAGGAGAGGGGAAAGCGATAAAAAAATATTTCATTTCTGACACTAATAGTCATGGAGCAGTCTGTTTGTTAGGGAGCACGTGAGCTAGAAATCTGCTCCTTGTCCCTTGAAAGATGGTTTCCTAAGGATGACCATGCTGCAGGCGAGCTGTGCCAAGTGCATTTCTCTCCCCGTGCTGTGGCATCAGGCTCTGTGGTGCTGGGTAGAAGTGGGAAATGGCAGCCTAAGGGGAGGCCTCAGGGTACCGCACTGTCGCCCTTCCCCACAATGGCTCTGCGGGGATGAGAGGGCAAATCTGATAGGCTATCGCCTCTGGCACGGGCTGGGATGTGTGTTCCACATAAGCCAGTAGATAGAGTGGCACTCCTCTTGTGTAGCTTATGGGTACAGCCATAGCTTGCGTACTGGGGAGTACAACCCAACCCTCCTCTGAAGCTGGCGGTATTTGCAAATTTGCCCATTGTCCAAAGCAAACAAAGGGCACGAACAACAGGAGCGGACAATTTTGGCCATTTCTCATCCAGCTTTTGCAAATCAGCTGTTAGATCCACTCAAAGCAAAATCTGCCCCACAACATTACAAAAAGCCCATTCAGTACAAGCCTGTGTTGTTCAATGGAGCAATACTTAAAGATCATTTTACATAGCTAAAGTAACATTTATACAACAATTAAAGCTTACCATTGCTGTAAGACCGAAAATTTCCTACAAATTTTATGTATTCATATGTTGGAAATTCCTTTGGGTTCAAACTTCCTCTCAGAAGATGACAATAAAACTCTAGTTCATTGTCAGCTGGATTGTTAAAAGAAGAAGAAGAAGAAATAAATATACTATTTAAGCTAAACACAACCCCAATCTTGCAGCACAAGAGCAGTGTGTCACCACTCAGTTCTACACACCAAGGTGCAATAAGTGGCAGGGCCAGAGCCTCTGCAAGAGCTCTACGTGCAGCTGACCTATGTGGGCTGGTGGCTGGTTCTCTTACACTGTCTTCAGCATAGCACTGACACAACATTGGCATACTGAGGTAGAGAATGGGATCCTACAGCTATGGCTTTTTTTTTCTGTTTAGCTTTTTCATGACTCACAGCTGTTTTACATCTTGTGTTGGAAAACTATGCCTAATTATTTCAAAAAATCTATTAAATTAACTTCAGCATATTAACTATGAGCTGCAAGATTTACGTATGCAGTAGATTAAGCAGCTGTACGTCTCACATTATTGTGTGCTTTCTGCTTTCCTTCATCTTACCTCCTAGAGTGAATAAGGTTGAGGCAAATAAAAGGATTTTTAAGAAAAATAAATTCAATTTGAAAAAGAATTATGATGATTTTACAGCTACTTTTCAACTATAATGCAGAACAAAGGTATGCACTGCTAGCATATCTCTGAACGGCATCTTATTTTAATGGGCTGAAATATCAATTAAGATGTGATTTGTCTCAGGCAAAATGTTACCACTGGCTAACCTATTTTCCTCAGCTGTCTCAAAAGATGCTATATTTAATAATTAACACAACTGCAAGTAGACTTTGCCTATAAAATAAATGCAACGAGTTTAATTTAAAAATAGTACAAAAGGGTCATGCCAGGTGGCAAGATCTCTTTGAAATGCTATGAACATAAGTTTTACACTGCATGGCTCATTAAAAAAAAAAAAAAAAAAAAAAAAACCAACCAAAAAAAAAACCAACAAACAAAAACAACTCATTCTGTGAGAAGTTTTTTATCCTACCCACGCTTTTTGATTTACAGGGAAAGATAAAATAAAACTTACTTTTTAGGTAATCCGATGAGGCAGAATCTGTCATAAGCATACAGGAAGATAACATCTTATAAATTTCTGAATGTTCTTGTTCCGGGAGGAAATTTAACAAATTCTGATCCAAGACATCACACTGCAAAAATAAACCAACAGAAATATTGATATTAAACAGCAATGTCACAACAAGCATCACCATGACATTCACACTGCATGATGAATCCTTCTTCCAGGAGATGTTCTGCTATGGACATCACTTTGTAGCATTGGCTACATCCCCTAGGATGGGGAACTGGTGGCCAAGAAGGCCAATGGCATCCTGGATGGTATCAGAAATAGTGCAGCCAGCAGGAGCAGGGAGGTAATTGTCACTCTGTACTCATCACTGTCGAGGCCTCACCTCAATGCTTTGTTCAGTTTTGGGTCCCTCACTACAAGAAAGACATCAAGGCCATGGAGCATGTCCAGAGAAAGACAATGAAGCTGTGATGTGTCTGGAGAACAAGCCTGATAGAGAGCAGCTGAGGGAACTGGGGTTATTCAGTCTGGAGAAAGGGAGGCTCATAGGAGACCTTATCGCTCTCTACAATGACCTGAAAGGAGGTTGTGGAAAGGTGGGGGTCAGCCTCTTCTCCTGCAGAACTAGAAATAGGATGAGAGGCAATGGCCTTAAGTTGCACCAGGGGAGGTTCAGATTGGACATTAGGAAGAACTTCTTCTCAGAGAGAATGGTGAGGCAGTGGCACAGGCTGCCCAGGGAAGTGGTGCAGTCACCATCCCTGGAAGTGTTGAAGAACTGTGTGGATGTGGCACTGAGGGACATGAGTGGGCATGGTGGGGGTAAGCTGACAGACTTAGATAATCTTAGTGGTCTTTTTCAGCCTTAATGATTCCATGAATTCACAGTACCGCCAGCACAAGCCCTCTGGAACTGAATGTCCAGGTGTTTCCAGCCTTGTGGCCAGTGAGTAGGAACCCAAAATGCATCCAACACAGAGTGAGAGCTACTCACTGATTCGGGGACTAGGGAACAGAAAGATGGATACATTTCTGTACAAGCCTATGGTGGATAAGACAAGAGTATGCCACAAGGTTGCCAAGAAAAAAATCTCCCTGTATTCAGTGCAGTGACCAACATAATGCCTGACAAGCCTACCTGAAAGGAAGTTGTGAGATAAAGTAACCCTCTAATGGCATTAACTTGCACTCATCTCACTGGAGACTACCTAGGGCTGAGCTGACGTACTGACACAGCTCCTTGTGTCATCAGAGCAGCTGCTAGCAGACTGCACATTTGTGCTGAAAATGTGTTAGCCCTGTATGAGACTGGCAAGTTATTAATCATCATCATTTATTCATGTATTTACTTAAGATTATGCTTTGGTTTCCCTCTGCTTTCCATCCAGGCCTGCTGTTCTCTACGTAATTCCTATTTGGGGGAAGGGAAATGCAGTGAACATACTTCAAAAACTAGAGTGGGACAGTTTGTATCCTTACCTTGATGCAATAATATATTAATTTATTCAATTACAAGTATTTATTAAGTGTGCTTGCTACTTGAATACTCCTTTTGTGAAGAATACTTGAAAATTATTTTTGTGACTTCAGTATGTACCTCTTTAATACACAACCCACTTATATTGCATGTGGTACAGTTATATATAAATATCCACATTATAGTCATACAAAATATATTACATTGTTCACATAATTTTGAGAATATGAAGAAAGAGCATCTGAAGGGAAACTGCTGTGCTGAGTGCAGTTCAAGGCTTACGGCACAGTCTTGGAAAAGTAATTTTCCTTCCCAATCCTTTTCTACCTGTAAATTGTAGATAATGATGCTTATCTACCAGTCTCACACAGGTGTCATGAGGGTTAATTACTCTCTCATCCACTCAGCAGTAGATGGGGGAGGGCTGGAAGGACCTGCTCACTGCTAGATGCAGGCTATCTCCACACCTGATGTGAGCTGTCACTGCTCCTCACATTCACTACTGCTTTGATGGTGACCTTGGGATGCGCTTTCAGAGGTGCCCAGTGCCAGAACAAGAGGCCATGGGTTCAAACTGGAACAGAGGAGACTCCTTCTGAACACCGGAGCACATCTGTGCTGTGTGGGTGACAGAATACTGGCACAGGTATCCTGGAGGCTGTGTGGTCTCCTCCTTGGGGATCTCCAAGGCCCCGGGCACCCTGCTCTGGGTGGCTCTGCTGGAGATGGGCCAGAGAGACCCAGGGGACCCTGCCAGTAACAGCCAGTCTGTGGATCTGTGCTGCCTTTTGTCTCCGTATTATGATCAAGTGCTGCAGTATCCCTTGTGTTTAAGGATAGGACAAAACAGATAGAATCTACTTCACATATTTTATAGCTCTTGCTATTGGAGAGGTCAGGAACACCTGCAGAGAAATGCACAGAACAACTTCTGGATCTCATCCAATTCAGGAATACAACAGTATTCTTGAATCAATATGCCAGTCAGGAACCTATTGACAGGCCAAAAATAAAGAGAGGAGTAAATATACCAGAGTCTCACTGGAGCTGTAGGAAATGTCACGCAAGCTCCTTCTGTACCAGACCCGAAGAGCAGCCACCTGGTGCCATGACAAATAGGTGAAAGGAGAGGGAAACAAAATGTAATCACCACAGACAAAAATGCATAGGGTGGAGGGGAAAGTTTGCAGCTTTGCCCAATTGCTCTGCAGTGGGCAGCTCTGTAAGCCCTGATGTTTAACTAAAGCACCCACCACTGCCTTTGGTCAGTGAGCAGATGCAGCACTTTCTGCCTAAGTCCAGTAGAAAGAAAGCAGAGTTTGTTTCCTCCTGTGGGTTGGAAATTGGCATTCTGCCATCTGCATTTAGCTGCTTCGTGAAGCAAAGCTGGTAAGAAGGAGCAGGGGTGACCTTCTTCCCAAGGCCTGCATGGTTTCGGGGGTGTAGTGTATCAGCTGATGCTAAATGCTTTGAGTTGTGACCAGATTTACAGTAGTTCACTTCACTTTAACTACAGCCAGTCTAACCATATTAGCTAAACCTCTCTTCACATCAGCCAACCCTGGGAGAAGTCTCCAAACCTTGCAATAATAGACTATTTAGAATTACCACAGAGGCAGCTGGTGTCTGAAAACGCTCCATGGAACTCAGGGAAGCTGAATAAAAGAGAATTGGATATATTTACTCTCAGCACCAGAGTCTTCCATGATTTTAATGAAAGAAAATACATCAGATTTGTGGATAGGGGCCCTCAGAGAGCCCTGCTTTGTGCTCTGCCCAATTGTGCTTTCCTTTCTGTGCTCAAAGCAGCAGATTTACACAATATCTTTTTTTTCCCCTGCATTCACAGACGAAGAAGAATTGGTATTGTGTCCCTCCAACAGTGACTGAATGTAGCTTACCAGTAGATCCTGCATGTTAACAAAGTAAGTAATGTAGATTTTCCAGATAGTGCTCTGATTAGTGGTAGAACTTCAGAAGACAAATAGAAAGGACAGCTGAAATTTCCCATGAGCTGCACAGTGCACATGGGCATGTGATTTGCGCACCTCAGGCTGGTAGAAGCCAGCTTGCACAACATACTGCACAGGTACAGACTGGTGGGGCAGGGTTTGCCACTATTGCACTGTCAGCCCTGAGGTCTGTGGGACTTCTGCTGCTGCCTTCAGGCTGGTTCCCAACCCTGGCTGCTGTGAGCTGCTTTGATGGGAACAGTTATGGAGGTAAGCTTGCTGGTTTTTGGAAAGGGCCTGACATCAGTGGTACTCCTGAAAAGATAATTTTCTGCAGCAGATCTACCATGTCCACTAAGATCAGTGTTTGCAAGATCAGGACTGCCCCCAACCAGCTCAGGATGTTCAGGGCCCCATCCAACCTGGCCTCGAGCACCTCCAGGGATGGGGCACCACAGCTTCTCTGGACAGCTGTGCCAGTGCCTCACCGCCCTCTGAGTAGAGAATTTCTGCCTAAAATCTAACATAAACCTCCTCCTTTTATTTTAAAACCATTCCCCCTTTGTCCTATCACTATCAGATAGTGTAAAAACTCATTCTCTCTTCTATTTATACGTTCCCTTCAAGTACTGGAAGGCTGCAGTGATGTCTCCCAGGAGCCTTCTCTTCTCCAAGCTAAACAAGCCCAGTTTCCTTAACCTTTCTTCACAGGAGACGTGCTCCAGCCCTCTGATCATCTTTGTGGCCCTCCTCTGGACCTGCTCCAACAGCTCCACGTAAATCAGTAAGCGTATGAAAACATAGCAGTTTGCATGCAGGACAGCTTTCTCTCTGCCTTTGATTTGAAGACAAATGTCAAAAAATAGTCAACCACTGGGTTCTCAACTGTTGACGATTAAAGAAAACTGGAGTAGATAGATTCAGTTCAATCTGCTGTTGCATAGCAATATTCTTGCATTTACCAGGAGCTGCCGCCTTTCATCAAGTTCCTTTCGCCTCAGAAGAAAATAATTTTACTGTTTGTACTACAGAAAGGTAGTGTGTGTGAAATACATTTGGCTGGGTGGAAAACAGCACATATTTGGTGAAAAAGTAAACGAGAGAAAAATAATTGTAATTTCCTGAAGAACATGGGAATGGTGGCAATGAAATAATGATTTGGCAGGTATTGTTTTCTCCCGGGCACACATTTATTTGAGACTGAGCTACTAAAAATGAGTGTTTGGATTAATACTTCATTACTGCACCATTCCTCCCAGAGCAGCCTTAGCAACAGGAGCAGAGTCCAGCGCAGCCACTCTGCTGGATTCACAGCAACATCTCCACAAGCAGCTGAAGTAGAGGAACAGTTGCCAGCTACCTCCTGCCCCTGTGACTGCAGTGGGGTTTCTGTCTTTTACCTCCATGGAGCAGAAATAAGGCCCCTAGCAAGCTCCTTGCTGGGCTGAACTGGCTTAGAAATCAGAGATGGAAAAGATCAGCCAGGTCAACCCATCCCTCCCTTGGCTAGAGGATTCCCACAGAGCTTTTTCCATTCAAACCCAAGTGCCTCATAGCAACAAAAACTTGAAGTGCATGAATCACGCTGAGAGGGAGCAAAGGAGATCAACAGCAGTGACTGGCATAATGTAGGGACAAAAACTCTCCCTGCGTTTGCAAGAAAACATCCCCTCACCCCATCTCCCACCCTCCTGTGTCTGTTTTTAACAGAGCCCAATCCTATGGTTTTTAGTAGAAAAAAGCTTGTGCCGGAGTTACTCACTGGTAAATGCCCTAGAAGAGGTGTGATGCTGTCAGACACGTAGATGATGCTCCCACCTGTGGTTACTGCTATGATGAAGCCGTCCAATGCCTAAGGAAAACATGCAAGTGGAGAGTGCTTTAGTAAGGAAGAGGGGAGTAAACAGCATGTCTCACTGCATGTTGATCAAAACCATTTTACTTCAGCACCGTATTGTTCTTGAGACGTAGGAACGTTATCTCACACTGCAGAACAGTAATTCTCTGATTTTACAGTCTGATTTAACTTTTACAACACTCTTTGTAGTCTAGCAAAACCTACTATTGAAGCAACAAAGGGCTCACAGGAATATTTCATGTCTCGGTTTTTAAATTAATCACACATTTTAATAATGCAAAATGACTAAGACTGGATCCCTTGGAAGTTATTAAAATGAACATTTGAGCTCTGTGTAAATATCAAAGGACGATGAAAGGATGCAGTCCTATCTCAAAATGGTAGTTCTCTGCAAAACTCATAAATCTCAGTTTGTATTAATGTAACGTTGTATATTACTGGGCTTTCATGTAAGTAAAAGCAATGCAAATGATCAAATAATCCTTAGTCTGACTTTTAATTGAGTGATTTATTCTAAAGGTCATGGTACTGGATTACTCATTCAAAGAGAAATTCCCTCTTCCACAGAGCTCCTTCCCCACTTGAGTCCCACCTTGCAGTGAGCCCCCTCATGCCTAGCACTGAAGGGAATACTTTATCCCAGTCCTCTGCACAGCAGCAATTTCACCTTCAAAATTAGTTCCTTCTTTATTCTGAGCTGCAAAGTTTGGAGATCAATCTCCTTCTAAGTTAAGCCTAGGTAGATTTCCAGATTTAAAGCAATGTTTCACCTACTCTGAGCAGAACACCTCAAAAATTCAGAGTCGATAGCAGGTGTTCAGAGACAATATTAAAGCCTTATCATGACTGAAAAACCACTGGCAAAGTGCCTTCAGGTGGAATGGGGCAGTGCTTTCTCTGCCAGGTCACAGGTGACCTGGAGCTGGTGCTGACTGCCCTATTGGAGCAGCATAAGTGCCATGAGCAGGACTGAAAATTTCAGGTGTACTCCAAAGACAGGTGCGTGGCCAATAGCCTGATCGTGGTGGCACCAGGTCACAAACCCTCCCTGCAAACCTGGGCACCCCTCCAAGACAGACTTGGATCCTGCAAGCTGCTGAACATCCTTCTCCCCTGCTGACTTCAATAAGGGTAAGAATTCTGAGAACACTAGAAATGCTAATTGTTTGGTAAAAAAACATAGGAGAGCACAAAACCTTGAATAAAGACACAAACATATGTTCCTTTTTTTCAGAGAATGCTGAGCACCCACAACTATTTAAGTCAATGGGAATCTGCTGGTGCTACAATCCTTTGAAAAGCAGGTCAATAACTTACACCCCAGCAGAAGAGTATGTGTTTAGCATTTCTGAAAACCCTCCAGCTGCCTAACCCTCCAGTTACTTTGATTTTGTTAATCTAAGTGCAGAGGATATGTTTTTCTTCTTTATAGTACATTCAAGCTGTTTTCTAAAAGGCATGATAACTGTTAACCCTCAGAAGAGAGAAGAGAGTGGTATCACAAGGCAGCTGGATTGTTCATGTTACTATGGTGAAGGATGATTTTTTTTTTATTATTTTTTTAAAACCGAGTCTTTATTTCATATCCAATGCAAATCATACAAAGTGACTCATATCAGACTTTTGTGGTAAGATCAAGTTAATGTGTGCATACATAATTCTGTGTTTATTTACTTGCGGTCCTCTTCCAGCATGAAGATGGCATGTGGCTCATCAAAGCTTTCCGTATTGCAACAATCATGGATGGACCAACAGATCTTGGTCCCCACTCGTGTGTAATTTCCTTACTTTTCATTCAGTAAAAAGGGGCTGTTTTCAGGAAAGCTGATGTAGTTCTGTGATAAAACATGACTGCTTTGAATCAGTGCTTGAAAAAATCCTTCCCATTCTTTGATAACAAAACAGGAAGAGTAGTCTTGTCCAAATGCTAATAAAATAGGATTGGAGGAAAGGCAAAAAAAGAAAAAAGAAGTGACTACTGAACATCTGCCTCAGTAGGACCCAATACGCAACATCAATTTGAAACTCACATTAGCAGGAAGGAGTTTTATAAACCAGGAAGTTTGAAAGCAAGTGTTTTTTACTTTAAAACTGTGTGGCTGATAAAAGCAGAATCAACAGTCAAGACATCTACCAACATATTGGTTCCGGAGGGAACTGTTTTAATGCAGCTGAAAGAGCAATGTATGTCATGCTCCGGAGCACCAAATTGGGAATCAGTGGTCATGGGTACAGTATGCATGAAGCATCTCTCAACCCTGAATCTGGGGGATCCCATCACAGTCAACTTCCGCATGTTTACCATGGGAGAAGATCATTGTTAAAGAAGGCTCTAGCTGTTACTAAGAGAGAAAAGTGCATTTTAGCAGCTCATTTGCATTTCATCTCAAATGTGCATAAACGCCATTGAGTCACCTCCCTTCAAATCCTAGCTAGTGTTAAAAGCACCTATGGTGTAATTTAAAGATAATTTAAAACCTATCATTGCAAAATAACCCTGCTCTCTATTAGAATAAAAAGTGTTTGATAAGGGCCTGAAAATTCATTATAGTGGAAGTATTAACTGCATCGAGCCTGCAGGAGCTGTCAGGTTTTATCTGGTTGTACAGCACCTAGCACTAAAGGGATGTGACACTGCTGCATTGTAGGTGCTACTCTTGCATAAATATTAATAATAGAGCATTACGAGATCAGGAGATAAACTGCTGCATGCCCTTTCCCTCACCCCTGGTTGTGAAAACAAAATGTAATCTGTGATTCAAATCTCTCTTTTGGATTGCATTTCTTGGAGCTCTGTCTGCACTTTTGCAGGGTGCTGCAGCAGCAGTGCTGCTGGTGCAAGGGTGAACAGCAGTGCCATGAGCCAACTCTCAGCCCTTTGCTTGATGGGCAAACAGTGGTACCTGAAACCTCTTTTGGAGCTGCGAACCACATTTTATTCTAGAAGCATGGGCATTTCCACAACTGCTAGGCAAAATTAGCAGAGCTGTATGCATGTTCACCTCCAACATCAGCTGGGTGAATTCCTCGTTGCTGAGAAATGAAGGCTTCCAGTCCTGCTGAATTTCAGAAATCTCCGTCTGAGCCGACACTTCTAGATAAATAAAACATTTCATTTTTTAAAATTCAGAGAAACTTATATTTTGAAAGACTATACATGAAAAGGTAGAAATTATCTACACATTCAAAAATTTCATTTTTCAAGTACGGGTTTTGCATATAGAGAGAGAGAATAATGACAGCCTAAACTGGGCCCAAGCCTGAAGTGTTTTCCTCTGTTTTTGTTCAACTCAGCTTGAACCAGCTTCTGTGGGAGCTTGTATTCACCTAGTTGTTGGCATCAGTCAGCATTACTGAAGTATTGTTCAAAAGATAAAAACATTTTGCACAAAATTAAGATCAAGATGAGGTTTGGCACATGCCAAATTGGTATTTACAACGTGCTGCTTCAAAATTAGGACACCCAGGAGCTAGAGTTCAGCCTATAGCTACTGTGGCAAATGAAGAACAGCAAGAAAATCCCTTCAGAGAAGACCCAAAGCCCTATAACCCCAAACACCAGAGGAATTCCTCCATTCACCAAGATGGAAGTGATACATGGGCATTGCATCACTTGTACTTGGGAAATGTAAGAGTTGAAGCACTGGGGTTTCCTCCCAAATCCTGTCTGAAGGGGGTCTTCCATGCTCATGCCCTCGTAGGCATCCTCCATGTCCACATGGATGGTGCCCATGAGGATGGCCCTGCTGTCAGCAAAGCCCATGGATGAGTGGTGCCTGAATGGAGTGCAGGCAGACCAGAGTGACAAATCATGACGTAGCAGTGAAACGTGGCACCATACCAGGGATAGCTGGGTGCACTGTGGTAAGCTCCAAAAAACAGCAACTTGTGCTAGCTTTGCCTGAGAGCTGCCAGACTTGTCAGACAGTGTTATGGGGTAGATCTTATGATTTACAGAATCTGGTGCTGTTTTTGTTCACTGCTCACTCTGCTTCTCCAAACATCATTCAGTAGTGACGTAGTGAGTAGTGAGGGGATGCTGAGTGAAGCCTGCCTTTTCCTTTTAGCACTCCCTGCTAATTAATCCTATTGATTAACACTTACAGAGCACGCAATACCCAATGCTCCTTATTCTAAGCACATAGGCAAACTGGCCAGGGAAATGAAAATAGCTCAGTGCTATTAAAGAGAGTAAATTTATAATGTTGCCTGTGCATATTGTCCCCTAGAAATAAATGAAAGTTCTGTTCCAGGTTTATGAGTGGAGACACAGTGAGTTCAGCTTGCTGTCTGCACTGCTGGAGCTGTCATGGGCAGCTGAGATGGTCTTACATGGAGATATGAAAACCAGACGAAAGAAAAGTAGAGATCAGCCCCAGCCAGATTTGCATTACGTGGTCTCAAAATAGAGGATGCTTTCAGCTTGGGAAAGCTGATATACACAAAGCATCAACTGCTAGAAGAATTACTTGAGATTTGGGAGATTCTGTGGATTATAAAGAAAGAGACTGTTTACGAAACCAAAAATTCTAAAAATTGACCTGCTCCTCTGTTATAACTAAAATCTTGGTTTAGCCTACTAAGTGAAAGGGAAATACGATTGAATAAAGCAGATCCAAACTACTCTGAAGATAATCAACATTTTTAAATGGTGATGCTTTGTATTATATTGTGTGACAACTAATCTAGTTTAAAAATAGATAACATTTACTGTTTTTAGAGAGTGCACAAAATCAGTCACAGTTTGACCCAGTTTCTGTGGAAGGATTTATGACTGTTGGATTTCTTTTACCCAGTTGTTTGTTCTTCTAGAAATGAAGTGCCTTTTGTAGTAAATCATTTGGGCTATCAGCCACACTTGTCTACACTTCTTCAAGACTTGTATGATTGCTCTTTGCTTGGCTTTTATAACTGTGCATACTCACATTTTGTTTTACTCTGTCTTGGGTAGCTAAAGAAAAACATGTTACTGCTATCACTTTCTAATAAATATATACAATTATCAAACTTCGAAACACCCTAGTCATGCTTTCTCATATGAAATCACCTTGTCTAGGGCAAAAAAAAAAAAAAAAAAAAAAAAAGTGAAACTTTTCTCTAACAACAGAATCACTATATTTATTTCCTTAGTAAGTTTGGCATTTGCAACTCCATTATGTTGGGAGCTATGATACAAGAGTTGCTGTGCCCTTCTCCATTTCCCACAGAGCACTTCCAGAGAGGGAGATTTTCAACAAGCAAGGTGAGCCAGGTGGTGCAGTGCATCAGCCATGAGAGCCCTCTCCACTTTGTGGGATCAGGGATGTTCCCTATAGTCACCTGCTAAATTCTCATCCTCTTCCTCATGGAGAGCAAGAGGACTCCATGTCAGTCCTGATTTATAGAGGAGAAGCACTTCATCAGTCTTTTTTTCCTGCTGGAGGGTGTGCATGCATCAGGGAGCCTTCCATGTGTGCTCACTGCGCTGACTGGAAACAAGATCAATGGGGATAGAGCAGCAGGGCCAGGGATTTCTGCAGTGAGGGAACCTTTCTGAGACACTTCACTGTCACTGTGTTTGCAACCTAAAACAAGCTCCTGCCTTTCCAAGGCCAAAATTGCATGAAACTGCATGATCTACAAACACAATGTAGCTTTCTGCTTGGGTAAACCAAGCAAAGCTTTCTGTGGACGCAACTTGCTGACACTGACTTCAAAGAGCTGGAGCCTTTCCTGGTTTGAATTTTTTGCTGTCTGTGGAAATTGAGTCCTACAGAGTCCAATGAGGAGCAAGGGGTTAATCAGACTGTTTCCTGGTACTTTTCTGTAGAGAAGCTGAAGTGAATGCTTCGTTCTTCTCAGAATATTGCTAGTTTCAAGGAGAGGAATCTTCCCTCCAGCCCCGCACTCCTCTTGTTCAGAGCACCCCTTTTCTTCACATAAGCTGCAGGGCACAGCTGCCTCCATTCCTGACATTCAACACCTTCCATAACAGGTTGAGAGCCATTCCCAACTAAAGAACAACTGAGGAGATGGATTTGGGCAGCACAATGACTGTAAATTATCTTTTTAGAAGCCAAGAGATACAAAAAAAATACCTTACATTGGCACTTTTAAGCCCCTTGAGCCATTTTGACAATCACTGAAGGAAACAGGATTTTGTAACAGCGTTTGGCAAGTGCATGATGAGCTGCAGTAACTCTTACCATTGTGTTTTTGCAGAAAGCCAATGACTTTTTCCAGCACAGTAGTTTTGTCCATTTTACGGGTGTTGCCTGGAAGCATTGAGCTGAGCTCCTTGATGAGAACATTGAACTGATCACGTCTCTTCTTTTCAGACTTGTTACGCGAAGCCCTGTAGATGGAGAAAAAAAGATGAGAGGAGCAAGAAGAGGAATCATCACGCACCTCCTCTTTGTAATGCATGCATGTGGAAATCAGCATGCAGTATGCCCCATTATGTGAAGATTGGCACTGGCAAATCGTTCACATAGAAGCAGAATGGAGACTGATAATACTATGGGGCATACCCATCTGGGCAGTTTTAAGAGGAGAGAGGATCTCCAGTCCTTCAGCTCAGTCACTGCACTAGAATGGGGTCCACCCAGAGACTGTCTCTTCATGCAGGTCCTCTGGGTACATCTAAGCTTGCTTACAGAAAGCCATGGGGCTGTTGTCTTCCAGTCATTCACATCAGGGAGCTTAGCAGAGGCTCCCACCTGGCTCATATGCCCCCTAGCTCAGTCTCCTTTCCAAGGTCACCAGGGCAAAAAGGAGGGATGGCTGATGTGTGTATCCCATCTCAGCATGGATGAGGGCCAAGGCCAGGACATATACCTGGACATGGGGCTCAGAAGTGCTAGCAAAGTCATAGCTTCTTGCCCATAATGCCTGGGTGCCACTGGGCAAATCACTTTAGGTCCAAATGTCACAACTCTTCAGGTATGAAGTGGTGACTCCACAACTCTCAGCCAGTCCTGTCTATTTCCATTGGTGTCTCATCAGAAAAAGCCTACTTCTACTGCTGTATTTGAAGAGCTCAACAGAAGAAGGGACCCGACTTCATCTGGAATTTTTTGGCAACTTCATGACACTGTCATTAAGCTGTTGATAATCTTTTCAGCTTGTGTACTTTATTCATTTCTTAAACATATATGAAGCTATGCACAAATAAAGGTTTCTGAATGACGCCCCAAAATATGACAGTCTTGCTATACGAAGACTATCACTCAGACTTCTGTAGCTATGTTAAAATAAGCATGATACAGAGCATGTGTTTGTTCTTCTGAGAGGTCACCAAGCAGGCAAGATTTGCCTCATTCATGACATAAAGATCTAAAAATCTGGTTATATGTAGGCAGGAAAGAAAAGCCAAGAGGCCAGTTCTCCTTCTGAGCGTCTCATCCCTGCTAATTCTGCTGTACATTGTAAGGAGTTCTGTCCACACATTGGCAAAAATGAGAGCAGAATTTAGCCCAGCATTTACATCCCCCCAAGGACCAGTCCGGCAATAAACATTTTCAGCAGAGAAATCACTGCAGAGGCTTCTGGATGTTACTACCAACAGAGGGCTGGGTAATTTTTGTTTGTCTTGCTCTCAACCCTGAACACACTTGGAGATGCACTGGATTGAAGCCAACGTTTGATTATTTTACAGCTTGGAACACGAGAGATTGGGTGGATACTGCCTCACTGATTCCAGCCTGTTCTTATTGCAGTGCAAAAGGCTGTCAGAACAAGATGTGAAAAGCTCCATCCTTATCCTATTTCTGTACAGTTCAAGGGGACTTAAAGAATGTCAACATTTTACTTTCTCATAATTCAGTCCTCAGTTCATTTTAAGCTCAAAGGGTCTTGATCTTCCTGAAAATAAAGTACCAGGAAAGTGTTGCACTGCCAAAATAAAAATGCTTTGACAGAAATATAAAGTAACAATTTTTAATACTTGACATTTTATTCACAAAGGAAACATAAAAACTCCTTTAACAGAAAGAACTCTACCAAGATCTGAATCAATAATCACAGTAAAATCTTAAAAAGGGGAAAAAGAGGAAAAAAAAGCCCACAATTAGGTCATCTAAACTATCCCTGTATGGTTGTAAATGCTTTAGTTCAGTCCAGTTGTAAATGCCTTAAATAATGCAGGTTTCATCACTTCCCTTGGAAGATTACTCCCTCGCCTTGTTTACTTCATTGCTAGGCTATATCACTTACAGTAAGCCAAAACAGTCTTAATTCCACACCGCTCATCCCAGTTCTCCTCTCTCCCCACTGCTCCAAAAAAATACACATACCCACGGGAAGAAGGAGATGCAGTATGAATAAAATCTGGAATTGTAGTGAATACAGCTAGAGGCAATACAGGACAGCTTGAATTCAGAAAGATCAAACCCAACGATTCAAATGTATTCTCAACAGCCATTTTTATTCTCACACACTTGCTGCTTATTGTCTCAGAAAAAGGCCGATACTTGTTGACCAGCAGCCATTGTATGATGCTGATCTACAATGAAATGTGACTTTACACTAAATTTCCTATCTCTTTTGGCTGTCCAATGGATTACATTACATATGCATCGAAGCAGGTAGTTGTACCCCATACTTTAATTCAGAGTCTTAAATTTACAGTTTATTGGAGTGGAAAATGGCAACTGCTAGTCTTAATTTAATTAAGTGTTGTCTCAAGATTTACTCCAAGCTGATTTGGGTTGGAATGTGCAGTTCAATTAGATTGCTAAATATATATATGAGAATAATTTTCTATTAGGTAAAGAAAACGACAAGAAAAAGGGTTAAGGGTTTTTTTCAAGAATACCTTTTGTTTGATATTAATATATCTATAGATATATTTTATAGATATTAATATATCTATAAAATCAAGTATACTTAATCTAGCATCAAAATTGAAAATGAAATTACGGCTTCTGATCTCCATAAGAGCAGAATGTTCAGCCAATGACTTCTCCCACACTTGTCCTTCTTTAAAGCTTTAGAACAAACCACACAGCTTTTAAATGAGTCTCAGTGGTTCTCGTATACTTTAGTAACTGTAGACTTATAAGAATCCTCTTATGATCAGGTTGGGAGGTGTGGAAAAGGTTCTGCACCAGAGGGCAGTGGGCATGGAATAGGCTGCCCAGGGAAGCAGTCACAGCCCGAAGTGCCAGAGTTCAAGGAGCATTTGGAAAATGCTGTCAGAGACAGGGCTTGGATTTTGAGTAGTGTTGTGTGGAGCCAGGGGTTGGACTCAGTGGTCCTTGTGGATCCCTTCAGGATATTCTATGACTCCACAATTTCAGACTTAATTTCCAATTTAGTTTTATTTCTAAAAACCAAGAAGTGCTTAAATTGCAATTCAAAGAAGTGATTTCCTCTTTACATCTTAAAAGTTATCTTTTCTTTCATCCACCTTAGAGCAGGCCTGCCCCAGGGCACGTCAAAAACTTCCTCCCTGAACAAACGGCATGAAAATCACACCAGATGGTGATGACAATCGCCGATCGTGAGGATACGCCTAATTCTATTTTTGTCCTTTGTGTGTTCATTTAATGCATTTTTGTTTCAACAATGCTAATATCTGAAAAATGAGGTCTTAAGCATGATGAGTGGTGATACCTGCTAGATGTGGGCTGCCTACTGCCCTCCACCTCCTTGACCCAAGGTCCCTGCATCTTATACTCTTCAGGTCCTTGTGCACTAAAAAGACAGATCATTTGGTGATGTGATGCGACAGGAGGCATCCATTCCCCAAGACCACCCTGTCCGCATGTCTCTGTGTTCTCTGTGGATGTCTCGGCACAGCCACACGCAGTAAAGTGTCCCTATTTTATCAGCCAAACCCCACAAAGGGCAAAGCAGGTGACTCCTTGCAGCCTTGCATACATTGGAGGAAGGAGCAAGGGAGAGCGGCTGAGCGTGGCTGCAGTATGTACTGACCTATATTAGGGAGAAAAGGCTGCAGGGAAGGAAGGAGAGGAGAAGGAATCAAAAGAGATGAAAATGGATCAACTAGTTGTGCCTGGACTGGAAATTACTCTCATTAAAGGGAACCAGGGAAAAAAAAAAATGCATGCAACCAGAGGCTCCCTCTTAAGCAATTAGATTGCAGGCTGCAGTATTGATAATGCTTCCAGAAAAAAAAATAAATAAATGCTTTCCAACAGCCTTTGTGACACTGCAGCTGCCAGCCAGATTGGACAGTTATTAGCGTTTTATTGCACGGCTCTTCTGCCTTGAAGCACAGCCCTCCCCTGCCCACAAAGCGCTCGCAACAATTTCCTGCCTACGTATCAGCTGGGACTTTATCGTGGAGCAAAGAATATATGGAAATAAATGTTTCTGCCACTTTAGGGCTGACACAGCACTTTGAACAGCTTTTCTCTGTTATGAAGGTAACTTCTGGGTGTTCTCATCACCGTGAGATAGGCATTGCTGAGCCAGTGGCCATCATATTACAGAAAACAAAAACAAAAAACACATTTTTAAAGTTCCTTTTCTTTTGCAATATGCTTCTTGTAAAAAGAAAGTCACATATTTTTCTACACTCTGAGAACTATGATGATGTGCTACAGCAGCAGGAATGCCTTGTTGGTTCTTCAGGCCTTGTGCTCTGCACTAGTGTGAAAAAACACACCTTTGCTCTTTATGACCATTTCTACAGGAAATTGGTAAGTTATTTTCCTCTTACAGGGTGTCCAGGACTTGCACTCTGTGATATGACAGTTTTTCAGGTTGGGCTTGGCTTTATTTTCCTCTCTTCTTTTTGATTAGTTGATTATGGATAAAGCAGCTTCTGCAGCAACAAGCACCATCAAGCTCACCAAGAGTTAAAGAGAGTTCAAAAAGGAAAAGTGCTCACCTCTTTGCCCTGTCTTTCTCATCTTCATCCATTAGATTGTCTAAGCAGTTTTTCCTGTGGAAGGAATGCGAGAGCCATTATGAATTGTCACGTTGTTAGTTCTACTTTCAGGTTAATCTCAGAGTCACGCTATTTCATTCTAATAACAGAGTGATGATATCCAGGTCAGATAAATGTGTCAGCAGTGCTTTATGCCACAGTCCGTGATTTTAAGAAACATCCATTGCAGACAGCATTACTCCTCAGCGTCACACTAGCTGTAGGGTCTGCAGCCAGGGATCAAGGCTCCCAGGCACAACATTGCGCGCCAATGCTGTACAGAAACAGACATTTCTCAGGGGATTTTCAGTGTTGAGGATGCTCTCTGTCAGCTTGCAGGCTGAATGAGCTCCAGGCTGAGAGCAAGTTGAGGAGGCATTGGAGGTGCTCCCATATCCCCCCCAAATGCTTCCTCCAGCCCCTCACTGCACCCATTTACTGAATGGGCAGCACCACACTGCTGGGTTGGCCCAAGCATCTTTCCCAAAGGCATGGTTTAATGACATGCAGTGATAACACTCACAAAAATCAGCAAGTTTTCCATTTAATTTGTCCTCAAAATGTAGGACATGAGTAACGTTGGAGAGGGGAGGAGAGAAGTTAATTGCTGCGCATTATTTAAGTCCATGATATTTTCCACCTATGAGTCACACAGGAGCCTGTTTCCAAACTGCCTTATTAAAAATCAGGAGTGAAAAGTTATCAATAGAAAGAACAGTGGATAAATTCCCTCCTTCTGTCAGTGGCGTTTTCTCAGTCTGTTCCACCTGCTCATTACTCAACAGTTAGCTAAGAACACGGAACTACCCTGCAATTTTTTATCAGATATAAGAAGAAGAGAAATTAAAGCTACAGGTCACTGATTGGAGGGTAAAGCTAGTGCTTCACGGGACTCAATGTGTTGATGGAGCAGCATAAATAGAAAATATGAAGGCTGGGGGGCTGGCAAATTTAAACTGCTGAATTCTGTGATACGGAAAATAAATAGCATGATGTAGTTTTTAGGGTTGGTTTTTATTTTTTTTATTTTTATTTTTTTTTTCCCAGATATTTCTTTGGCTTTGAAAACAGGCAAGTCAGCCACAGCACGATCCATATTTTAGGCCAGGAAAATTTATAGCCCCAGTTAAATTTTATTTACCAGCATTCTACAAATCCTATGGGTGATTATTCACCAAGTGCCAAAATGGGGCTGTCAGCCCAACGAGGAAATTTTCAAATAATTCACGCAAAAATGTGATGACAAACTCAGTGTTTTTTTTACTGTTATTTGTTCATTTACTGAATCTGCAATGCCCAGCTAGGTCATTGGAGAGCAAAGAAGGTATCAGCAGTACGGCAAGGGCTGATATTTAGACTCTGCTGTTTTTCCTTGCTAGAGCTTTGCTTGCAAGGCTCCATTGCATTGGAAGAAGTTTTTCACACAGAGGGTTGTGACGCACTGGAACAGGTTGCCCAAGGAAGTTGTGGATGCCCCATCCCTGGAGGCATTCAAGGCCAGGCTGGATGTGGCTCTGGGCAGCCTGGTCTGATGGTTGGTGACACTGCACATAGCAGGGGGGTTGAAATTAGATGATCATTGTGATCCTTTTCAACCCAGGCCATTCTGTGATTCTATGAATCTGTGATCTAGGACATGGCATGAGACACAGGGCATTGTCAGCAGAGGACCTTCTGTGAATCACTGAAGATCCTCCTCTGCTGCACCAGGGGCTCTTTTGTTTGCAGCAGAGGAGGAACAGCAGAAAGCAGGAACACAGGGACTAGAGCTCTGGGACTAAAGCTCTGGGTGGTGATAGATGGTGCATCTGCATAGGTGCTACTCAGCCCCATCTGCTTCTGCAAGGCACATCGGTCCTCTGGAAAGTGGTTTCCTATGTCTGTATTGCATGAACTGTCAAGGAATTACATGGCAGGGAAGCCCCTAGTCTTACCAGGAAGCAACAGGTCTGACTGGTCTGCTCTGCCAGGGACCTGGCTAGTCCCATACAGCAATTCACAGCCAGACTCCAGTAAACAATTTTTCTCACTGACTAACATGAAATTCTGGACCTGCTGTGCTGTCCCTACTGTTAGACAATATCTACTTGCCATTTTACTTCTGTTTGCTCACACGGCAAAATCTCCAGCGCATCATAAATGTTGCTAACAGCATTTGCAGGTACATATGTACCGTCTGAAATTAAAGCTGGTATCCGTAAAATAGATACAGCAGAATCTGGCACTGCTGCTTGGCTCCCAACATGCAGGGCCAGCTCGTTGCTAGCTGCACATCAGCCTGGTAGCCAGGTTCCTTTTGTAGCAAACCATGGCCCTCCCCACCCCTGGGCCACTGAGGTCTGCCAGAGGGCTTCCCTTCCTAGGAGGAGTCTGGACAAACTGTAAATCCATCACCAGGGCTTTAAGTCATGACAACATGTATAGAAATATTTTATTTTGTATGTTTTCCTTTTAGTTTTTCTGTTTTTCAAAATGAATGCTTCTTCAGCTAGTGGGGAAATAGGACATCCAGAAAACAAAACCATGCACTCCTGGCTTGGTCATCAGATGGAGAATTACAGCACAAACATCTCCCCCCATTCATTCATACAGATACTTGCTGCTTGGGAAAGGAGTAATCCAGGATGGTTCCAGCTCTCTGCAGGGACTCTCCATAAAAAAGACTGCATGTGTTTATTTTGAGACACCGTTTTCCCAGTGGACACAGAGCTCACACTGTAAAATTCCTCCGGTCCTGATCAGGAACACCTCGTGGTACTCTGGAAGCATGTTTTTCAGTGAGTTAAACTCCTCTGTGTAGGGGAGGTTGGTTTCCCTCCTTGCTGTCCTACTACTGCTCACGAGGATATACTGTAACATGACTGACGCTCAAAATACAAGCAAGCAGCTGTCGATTCCTCAGTAAATTGCCACGTGGCAAGCTAATCTCAGCTCCTACAAATCAGCCTGACATTTAACAGGAATTTTCAATCACCTTCAGTTAATTCAGCTGAATTACATCCCTCTGCTGATAGTAAGGAAGACAGAGATGTAAATCTCCCCCAGAGGCCCAGGGCTGTGCCTGGGGAAGCCTGATGAGTACTCACAGCACTTGTGTTTCTCCAGCCCTACACCAGGCAGCTTAGGGGGTAGGCTGGGCTCTTCCTCCCCTTTCCTCTCTAGCATGGTGGGTTGTCCCATGGGTGTTCCACAGCATGGCTTTGGAGGGTGCTTGCCTACACTGGGGAGCAGTGCTGAGTCTCAGCACTATCAGCTGTACTCCCTTCTTCTCAGCTAAGGCAGAGCTGTAATAGGAGGTAGCATGGGCTGAAAAGTGAAGTATTTCCTTTCTCTTGCTGGGAGGAAAGAAGAAAGAACTGCAAATCATAGGATCATTAAGGTTGGAAAAGACCTCTCAGATCATTCAGTCCAACGAACAGCCCACCCCCACTATGCCCACTGACCACATCCCTCAGTGCCACATCCACATGGTTCTGGAACACCTCCAGGGACGGTGACTGCACCACCTCCCTGGGCAGCCTGTGCCACTGCATCACTGCTCTTTCTGAGAAGAAACGTTTCCTAATATCCAACCTCAAATGGGAAACGAGGAGTCACAGGCAACAAATGGTTGTCTGAACATTTACAATGCCTTGTTCTGTGTTTCTCTGACGTGGATGAAGCACTCAGACATCCCATTGTGACAGCTGTGGTGCATACACACAGGAAGGATTCATATAACGCAAATCAGAATAAACCAAAAGATTCATACACAAATTTCATGTAACCCTCCAAATTTAGTTTTCAGATGGAAATCACTGTGCTGTTACGAGAACACACAGAATCCATAGCTAAATACACTACAGGACATAACTACCAATCCAAACTGATGTACGAAAATGCAAACAGAATAGACTGAATAGAATTTAAGAAAAAAACCTCACTTTCCTTGTGATATAGATTGTCATTTGAGAAGGCACTGTGCTTTTTCAGTGGGAGGAAGGCAGTTGGCAGTTACTAGAGGTCATGTAATGCTGCAATTGTTATGGGAATCACTATTTTTACAATCAAAGGAGAACTCCAGCAGCACGGTACGAGTCCGGGTTTAGAGCTATGACTGTCTTTGCCTGACAGTGTGCAATTTGATCTTCCTTTAGTCAGTGGTTTACTACATTCTGCTTGCACTGAAGAAAAGGTTGTTTATAGGTTTCCAAAGAAGACCCAACACAAAAAGAAAAGAAGAAAACTTTTGGAGGAAATATTGGACCTCGTGTAAATATGGGATTATCCGCATTTCACACATATGTTTACAGTGAATCTTCACATGGTGACTTGCTTAAAGCAAAACAGACATTAAAAAAATAATCCAAATGCAGACAATGAAAATGATGTAACATGACAGAAATTAATGCTCCTCTCTTCCAAACTGAGGTTGGCAGAAGACTGCTCACAGGTAGCACAACTGAGTCGTTATGAAATTATAATGAGAAGAAGTAAGGGCTCACACTGTACTCTGATTTTATTCTTTATTTAGTGAGAAAAGGTATTCTTTTCTGTCCATCAGAAGTGTTGCACCTATTGCTGTGAGCTATTTAGCAGCTTCCCCTGCTGCCCTGGTGGCAGTTTGATTTCGGGGTGCGGGATGGGTGAGCCCCCTATAGGTGCAGCATCATTTGCATCTGCCTGAGCTAGGAGGAGCACAGATGATGCCAGCAGTGCAATGTTTCAGGGAGGGCAGCCAGGGTGAGCGCAGGGCATCCTTTATCTCTAGCTTGTGAGCAAGGCGTAAAGTTTGTGCAGAGCCTGGCGTCCCTGACGGAGATCAGGACGTGCATGCTCGTTATCTTCCTTATTATGATTGTTACCGAATGGCTAATGCCACTCAGACTTCAGTGAGCAGGATAAGTGAATCCCCGGGTCCAGCCCCACGCTGCTCTCCCCTCACACGGCTGCAAACAGAAAGGCAAACAAATTAAAGTAACATTAATCAGCAAAGACTGCCATCTGTATAACTCCGAGCACTTTTCCGCGTGCCCGTCCCCTTCCAGCAATGCTAAACAGGATTAGCCTTCCGTGGGCGGACGGAAAAAGTAGGTCAGTTCGGTAACATTGCTGCGTGTGATGAACAGAGGACGTGATTGCAATGGTCTGCTCACAGCCTGCTCTCCTGCAGAGTGGGACCTTGGCTTGTCACATGGCCCTCACGAGGAAAAGCCTGTTCTTCTAGGGAGAAGGACCAGCCCTTTCACAGAAGGGTAACACGTGTAGAAGCAGGGATATGGCAAAACAGGGATGGTGGGATGGAATTGACTGGTGAGTTTTAACAAGGAAACTGAGGCATGGGGCAATTAAAGGCTACATCATTACTGGTTTGGCATATGTGTATTCCTCCATTCTTACAAAACTACGCAGAATTGGGCAGTGTGTAACTACTGTAAGTTCAGGAAAAATAGGACTTAGAAAACTAGGATGCACAGCCTGATTTTTATCAAAGGTTGTGCATGAGCAATGTGGCAGGAGATGACAAATCATCCACTGCAGTTACTGCCTTTTTGTATTAAGTTTATTGGGTATGTAGGGATGGTGTCTGGAAAGCCAAAGCTCACCTACAGTTGACACTTGCAGAGAACATCAGTGGCGACAAGAAGAGTTTGTTCTGCAATACCACAGTAGTAGAAGGTCGAATAAGGAAGGACTGCTACAAAACTAGATGGGTGGGTGGACTAATGGCAGCAAAGTGATCACAGAATCATTTGAGTTGAAGGGATATTTAAAGGTTATTTATAGTTCAAACCCCTGCAATGAGCAGAGACACCTACAGCTCGATCGGGTCACTCAGAGCCCCATCCAGCCTGACCCAAGGGAAGGACTTCTACTATCAGTCTGGGCAACATGTTCCAGTACTTCATCACCCTTACTGTAAAAAAAGTTCTTCCTTATATCCAATCTAAATCTCTTCTCTTTCAGTTAGAAACCATTTCCCCTTGTCCTATCATAACAGATCC